CCTTTCACGCTTTTTATGATCTAAAAAAAAAATTTATCACCCGACAGAATAAATAAGAGAGAGGTTTGTGTTGGACGGTGATTGCAATTTGGGGAAAGGATAAGTTAATTTGTGTAAGTTACAAATAAAATAACATTTTCCGTTACCCCTATAAAATTAGTGTTGAGAGAGTGAGTGTGTGTGTGTGTGTGTGTGTGTGGTGTGTGTGTGTGTGGTGTGTGTGTGTGTGTGTGTTGTGTGTGTGTGTGTGTGTGTGTGTGTGTGTTGTGTGTGTTGGGTGTGGTGTGTGTGTGTGTGTGTGTGTGTGTGTGTGTGTGTGTGTGTGTGTGTGTGTGAAGAAGTGCGTGTTTGTTGAGTAAGAGCGTAAGACAAGTAAATGAGCAAGCAATGACTGTCGAATTAGAACATCCGATGAGTGAAGCAAAGACGCATCGGGAGCTTTCCCAAACCCTCCACAACTACGGAGCCACTTGCACTCAACCCCCCAAACCGAAAGAACAGGCGTCGCCGTCTTTCGTAAAGCTTACAAACTTACTTAGTTTCACCCAGCAGGTGGCAGCTAAAAAAGATTCTGCATACGAGGTTGTGGGTGTAAGCGTGCCGCGCGTCTTATCAAAGGGGGGGTGAAGGCAACTTTTTTGTAGCCGCTGACGGAAACGGGCCAGAACAGAAAATCGTCTTACAGAGCAACACACTCACAACGGTGTGCAAGGTGCGATACCACAACAGAATGGAAGACACTACGCGCTCGACTACGCAGTGCAGCTAGTACGTAGTAGATGAAGTGCAGTTATTCTACCTCGAATTGAAAAAAAAGAGAGTTGAAACAAACTTTTTTACGCGCCCCTAATACGCCGGGAACAACTAATTTATACGCCCGGAAAATTTTATCACGCGGTAAAAACGACTAATACGCCAATTTAAGCGCAAAAAGACCCCCCAGATTAACTTAGTATTACTAGTGGCTAGTCCACCTAGAGAAGAGAGTTTTGACGAAAACAAAATAGAAATTATATTTTCTTTTTTCCGAATCACTTATAAATTAGCGTTTCACATCAAAGATAATCGTTGTTGCGCTTTTACCGAGCCGCCATAAGACCTGCTACATAAAAGTTCGTCAAGAAGTAAAACCTTGGTCTGAGTATGAAGAGAGAGTTGTGTCCAGAAGAGACTACTCCGGCACCTATTTCAGACGGACAGACGTCTGACTCATGTAAAGACCTCAGCGACGAACGGAATCCCTAGCCATGGCCTTTTGGGCCATAATTTGGCCCCGGGTCCGCCGATGTAAAAAATTTCTGGCGCAATAGTGAATCGAGGTGCGAAAATAGCCAAGAACAAGAAGCAAAAATGTCGCATAATCAATGATTTTAACCCGCATAATCAAGGATTTTAGCCCGCATAATCAAGGATTTTTGCCCGCGTTTTTCTGGAGGGTCTAATTATAGATGTTTGGCTGTGGGTTGGTTGCACCCACCAGGCTAGTTATCAGAGCCAATTCGCACTGCAAGACATGCAAACATTTTTAACATTTTGATCGAGAAAAGGAAAGACTTTAAAAAAAAAAAAATGTAAACCTCAAACAAACTTTCATAAGCCTTGAAATTTTTTTGTCATTATGGCTTAAAAGTGCAGAAATTTCATTTTTCGACAGAATAAGCTATTTATATGCATCATCGTACAAGTAATACAAGGATGGCCAGGACGTTGCAGTCAGGCTGTGAGGATTTGCGGTACCTCCTTCTCCTTTTTTCTGTTTGTTTGTCTATCTGTTTGTCTGTATTCCTGGCTGGGCGTGGTTGACCTACTTTCCGTTTTCCACCAACTCACCTCCGCTCCTGTTTCTCATCATCACAGATTACCATCACTCACCTGCTGCTGCTTAAAACCCCGGTTCGATCATCAGACTTCGCCAGTTCTTCGTATACTCACAGTGGTAAACTCCAGTTCCGGCTGACTAGATTTTCTAGTACTTTTGTATACTCTTCCTGTTGGATTTTTTCGTATGCTAATCCTGTTTTGTTTTTTGCCTGTTCCAGAAACTCCACATTCCATTGCCCGTCCAGCCCAACCTCCGTCTCAGCCCTGCTCCACGTTCTCCCCACTCTGTTCAGAGTTTGCTTTGTCCCCTGCCTGGTTTTTATGGACTTATTAAATCCAGTCTTTTTGACACTTCACCTAAATCTCCGTCCCAGTGTTCTTGCATAGCGGGTTCTAGTTTTGTGTCTCTTTACGAGGAGCTTAACACAGGCTTGGCAAGAAACTGATTACATGTAATGGGATTACGGAATCAGGATACCAAAAAAAGGTAAATGTATTCCCCTATAGTTACATACACAAACACGTAATCAGTTACTGTAACAATTCTAAACATAAGGGATTACTCGCAGGATTACATTATTACTATAAACAAAAAACAGCATATAGTGTTTATTGAAAAAGGATCAGATTGTATTTCTTCTCTGTAAACTGTACTGTTCTGTAGGCTAATACTTAAAGTTTGAATCTGTATACGCCTACTGCCTGAATCAGCTTTATGGTTTTCAATTTATTCGGTTTATTTTCTTTATTTTAACTCAGCAGGTGAAACTATAAATTCATAAAATAGTGTGTGTGAGCTCAACTGTATGTATTAAACTAAAATAGAGCATTTTCTGTTAACTCAGATCTTATTTCTGCTTTTTTAAACTGTAGTATGTGCTCATGTGTTTCATTGTTGGTGTATAAAGTACTGCCTGCACATGCTAAATGAAAGGCAGGTTTTTCCTTTTAATACAATAGTTTCTGATCCTCAATATCTTGGTTTCTTTATCTAAGGTCACATTGTTCTGTTGTCTTACATGATACACTTAAGTTATACAAATGTTTTTGTTACTTTGTTTCTCTTGTATTTATTTGCATTGCATTTGATATTGAGGTAATCCAAAAGCAACAAAATATTTTCAGGTTACATTGCTGTTAAATTTGATACTCAGATAACGTTACTAATAAGATTTTCTTTAAAGCTAACTAGTAATTGCAACGGAATACATTTTTAAAGTAACCCTCCCAACCTTGGTTGCGCTGTTACAGGTCGATCCGCGTCTAACACTACTGTAGGCTGGTCTTCAGGTAGAAGCTGTTATCTTCAAAACAAAACACATTCGTGAAACCCACCCAACCTCAGAGGACACGTATTCCTTTCTTTACAGTCCCATCTGTATGTCCTATCGATCACCTATGTGTGTGCTGTGTAAGCTGTTGAACCCAAGCAGGGGATCCATGAACATTTATTATGGTACAGCAATCGATTGAGGTCATGCTGCCCGGCCTGCACCATCGGCCACAGAGAAACAAATACGGCCTTGCCGACAAATCTTCCAGTGCGGCTCTGACAGCCTCATAAAATTACCACTGATGTCCTCCTGCCTGGGAGAAAGGATTCATTTTTCAAGGGTCTCATTCCACAGAAATTAAGATGAATGGCTTTTTGTGCTCTCCATAAGTTTGCAATTGTCTAGTAGGGAGGCATGTGGTGCAGTGGGTTGTGCGTTAGTGTTCGGATCACAGGTTCAAACCCCACTCCAGTCAGCATGTCGTTGTGTCCCTGAGACACTTCACCCCAAATTGCTCCTGTGGGGATTGCCCACAGTATTGAGTATGTAAGTCGCTTTGCATAAAGTCTTTGGGAAGGTGATTGTTTGCAGCTTGGCAATATGTAAATGTGACCTGGAAGTGCATAAATGGGTGCTCACAGAATGATGATGTGCTTATTGAAGGTCTCTGGTGAGAAGTAAAAGCAGGCTAAAATTCTAAGATGTTAAAGATTAGGGCATTGGAGAGCACAGAAGAGGGTGTTTTATTTATTTTTTGGCCAATGATTTGTCCTGCAAATCAGCAAGTGCATTTCTCCTCCCTGAACTCCAGGGGGGGCTCATGCCCTGACCCCCCCATCAGGAAAGTGGAGCTGATATTGCGTCAGACAGCATGTTTGTGGTGAGTTTGAGAGAAAAAGGGACAGACGTGAGGCACCTGCTGACAGCCTACACTGGTCTGTTAAAGTCAAGTCCACCTCACTGCTGTTTCTTGTCCTGAATAGCAGCGTGACCTTTCAGAAATCTAAACTTTACACATCCTGTAGACATCAACAGCGAGGCTCTGTGCTATGAGAGTTGGGCAGGTGGAGTACACGTGTTGGATTATGACCAAGGTCGGGCAAGGTCAACACTGATGCTTTCCAGCATGGTCACAGTAGGAGAAGAATAAATTCTCCAGTGGCCATTGTAACGTTTGCAGCATGTTAGAGGTTCCTTGAATACCTTTAGTGAGCTGCATTGTCAATTAAACTCTATGTCATGCATCATACATCAGGGTTTCCTACACATAGAATTTGGCGGGCCGCCAAAGTATATTTCGCGATCCATTTAGGTTAAATCATTTTTTATCCGTCCGCGAGCACGACGCTATCTGCCATCGATTAACTACCCCTCCTGTACCTGTTCGCTCTGCTTTTCGCGTGAAGGATCTGCTTTATGCGTGCGCTCTGCAGTAACTCCGCTGCGAGGCTCCGGCGAACAGTTCATGAGCGTGCTCCACTAGCACCCCCCCCCCCCTGAGACTGCCAAGGCACACCCACAAGTATATTTCACATCTGTGGGAAACAATGTACATGTTGTGCGCTCCACCTCTTTTTTGCACCAATAACATATGTAATTTATGTATTTTATTATATACCCTTCCCTTTGTACAATAAAAAGACCATTTGGATTTCCAAAAGAAGGCTCTGAATAGCACACATGGGCAAAAGACTAAGCTTTATTTGCACATTACTTAATGAAATTTCTGCCAAATTGAACAGTTTGGAAACTATATTGAACTATATTTTTCATTAGCACTGTAACCAAAATCCAGGTCAGGTGCAGTGGTTTTTCCTGTTCCATCGACGGAAAACCACATTTGATTAATTGTAATGAATAAAAAGCAAACAATGTAGTCCAAACATAATTGTGTTCACTCAAGGCTAAATTGCATTCATTTCAAAAACAGAAATCTGAACATTGAAAAAAGCCAGGCTTTTTTGTTACTCTTTCATTTAGATTTCATATAGTACAATTTTCGACAACAGTATGCTTCCTGTTCTTACACTTTCTTTTGAAATGCCCCAAGTTTGGTGTAAAATAATTGGACCGCTGTGCAGATGTCCTCACTTCAACCCCATCCAACAACTTTGCAAAAACTAGAACAGCAGCTAGACCTTATCTCCGAACATCAGTGTTGAACCTCACTAGAGCCATATTTATACTCTATACTATACTCATACAGGCAAAATATGTACTCCTCAATGCCAGGAACGAACTGTAAAGTAAATGTCATAATAGTTGACATATTGAATCGCTTTAACACAATTCTTATAGTCCGAAACAAATCAAATATAAATGTATTATAATAAAACTGAGGTAGAAAGGTTTAACATCATGTGGCAGGGGGGGGGGGAACTTAGGGATGTTAGCCTTTTGCAGACCATTTACACGCACAAAAACCTATATCACACACTGCAGGAAAAGGAAAATCCAAAAAAGCATAATATGGACTCTTTAAATGCAACAACTTGAAGAGCCTCTGGCATTAGGCACTACCCATTTTCTACAGCACCATTCCTTCTTGCTACTGAATGAGAGCCAATCCCTGCAGCCTTGTTCCAAAGTCAATAGAAAGATTGAAGCCAAAAGAGTTGAGGCAGAATAATGCCAATGGTTTTGGAATAACCTGTATGGGTTTCCGAATATTTTTGTTCTTGGACTGAACAGGACCAACATGGCCGTTGTCTCTGATGGGTCAGTTGTAAATATCGTACATTCACTAACCATAACCCTAACCCCAACCCTATTCACATACAGTGGATTAATGTACTTGCACACCCATATATGCAAACATCCTGCATCTTAAAGCTCTTATTTCAACAGATAAAGTCAATGATACAAAGTAAAAGGTGAGCACTGATTCTGTTTGTCCCAGAGAACGTTTCAAGGACAAACCTGTTGATGTGAGCTGCAGCAAGACACGGAGTGGAAAGAGAGAAGCCAAAAAAAAAGAACAAGCTGACAAATGAATGGGTCCCGGGGAAGATAGAGGAGAGGTGATACATTATACTGTGATGGCTGAAAAAGAGGCTGTAGTATGTTGTATAGTTGTAAAGCAGAGGGAGGGAAATACATGGGAGGGGTGGAGGGAGGGAAGCAAGGGAGGAGGGAGAAAGAATGAGTGGATAAATCCTTACTACATAATGATTAGAGCTCACAAGCCCTTCCTGTGACACGGAGTGTAGGAGTAGGATTACAGCCGGCCAGTGAAGCCAGAGTGACAGATCTGCGGATGGAGGAAGGAGGGGCGCAGGTAGGAAAAGACCAACAGGAACATCAAGTGCGGCTAAGTGCAGACCAAACAAGCAAGGTGTTTCAAGGGGAGGCAGGGGGCGGAACAGCGCAAAACAGACATTTTAGACGACATTCCCAAACTCCAGTGGCTGACTCGCATCTGTCCCCCTGCCCCGGCCATCTGTCGCCGGCCGCCAACAGCCTCGTCCAGGGCAGCTGGATCCTTTTTGTCTTACTTTGATGGAGCGGCCACAAGAGCGCATCTCGCACCAGAGGAGGGCGAAGAAGGGAGTCTGGGAAATTAAGACGAGGGTCACCCTGCACAATCTGTGATAGATGGGACTCACAGTGCGGACAGGTGTCTCGGCCGAAATATGGAGTACATCTGTGTCTCTATGTACTGGGCAGTGACGGGCAAGGACAAGGCTGAGGAGTTTGTTTTGCGCTGATATATAACATGGTGTAAGTTTCTGGCAGCTTCCGGAGCTTTTCTGAAGTGTCAATCTCCAGCCAAGCGAGGAATTATCTGTTCCCCAGAGGTGAGCAGCTGCTGAAGACCTTAAAAAAGCAACGGCTTTACACACAAATATGCACACTGACAGGTTTTTCCTCAAAGCATTCTGGGACATCTTACCTGAACACCTGAGATAGCTGTCTCGACTTTAATTCTCAACGGGAACATTTAGCCGAAAGCTTAAGTGCGACTACAGACAGCAACAATTTGGTCATTTGTTTCCTTTTTCCTTCTACTCCTCCTCCGGCACCTGTTCACTTTGATCTCCCTCCATCACTCCATCCATCCTCCTCCTCCTGCTCCTACTCTTCTTCTTCCCTCCCCTCTTTTTCACCAGCGAGTGATAATGTGACCTTCTGCCAAAGTGCTGGAAACCATGCTACCGACGCAGCGGGCTCCTCTGTTGCTGCCACTGAAATAGACTCAAACAAGTGCAGGGGAAGAGGAAGGGAGGAGGGAGAGGACGAAGGAGGGGAGGAAGAGAAGAAGAGGGCCAAAGGGGAGAGAAAGAAGGATGAGAAAAAGACAGGAGAGGAGGAGGTAAAAAAAAAAAAAAGGGGAGAAAACGGGAACAGGACAGCTGAAGCAGCAGACACGGGATGAGTGGTGACGAGCCAGGGCTGGATGTGGATTGCCGACACAGGTAAGATCACCTTCATCTTCCACTTAGTGCTGCACTTAGATGTGTCATCACTTTACTCTCCACATTTATCTGTCTGCTTAAGGTTAAAAATCCCCAAATGCTGTTTTTCCAATTTCAAAAACTGAGTGTAGAAATGCTTTCTGCTTCTTTTTGTTTGTGTTTGAAGAGGTGTTGTAGTTTTAAGTAGCACCCCTCTCCTTCCCCATCCTCCCTCTTTCGTCTGAATGTCAATAGAGGAATTGTCTGAGCGCAGAGGATCAGATCAAAAGCGGGGCTCGACAGGATCCTTGTCGGGGGGATCAGACGGCACACTGTGTTTTGCTTTTGTGCCCGCTGTAGGTGTGTGTGGTGGCTGTAACTGTTGCTTTAACTCAGCGAGCTACCGGGGGGATTAAGCAGAGCGGATCGATGCGTCATTGTAAACAGTTAGAGCAGCTGAGAGGGGCTTTGATACCTGCCTGCCGGACCCTGGATGATGCCGCTGCTGCATGGGAAATTGAACTGCCACTGAAGAGTGACTTTTCAGGATGCCATAGAAGGAGAGGTTCCTGTAATTACTGAATGATCCGTTCTGGCTCCATGAATACAGAACAAGTTTTCTCTTTTTTAAATCCTAGTTTGTTATATCTGTAATTGGAATGTTGAAAGTGATTGACATGTCACATAATGAATGATGAACAGGAACTCATCGGATAGCTTTGTAGAGGTGAGGGACCTTTTAGGTTTACCTCGGAGAAACAATCAAGGTGTGGCGATAAATAAAAAGGCAACAAAAGAGCAGCAGAGCAGAACAGGGACAAAGCCATATTTCCTATCAACACTGCCACATGATTGCGGCTAAATCATCAGCGACAAAGTGTAATAACACGTAGAAGCAGCTGCTTATCAGCAATGTGTGTCCTGATTAGACATTGTCAAGGTGCCGTCTGCACTGCGAGCTCAACACACGGCTGAATCCATCCATAACAGCTGATGTGACTGAGTAACAGGCATTTTATCTCAAAGTACCGGTTAGATTATTCTGTCATGGACCGCAAACGCCTGCCGAACTGAAACGTGTTGGTAAGAGGTATGAGTGTGAGAATGAGAGGTCAAGGAATGTATTGAAATGTTGATTTGATTGGTTCTGGCACTGGGACGTCCTATACTGTAGATCAGTGATGGTTTCCAAGAATTCAGTCTCATTTCCACTTATTTGGCAATTATCCAGCATTTAATCTAAAGGCTCAGTTTACCCTAATTACAAAATAAACACATCTTACTTTTTATCTGTAGTTGTATCTAGTCTGATACCGCATGGAGGAAAAGCATGTTTTATCTACACAGCATACAAATGTGGAACGCATGCAAAAGGATCTTCAATGGGGGATATGTAATTAAAATAATCACTGTTAGGATGGGTTAGATATACCTGCCTGATTTTAAAGGGGCAGTTCAACCAAATTACAAAAACAATATTATCTTGTTAGTCTTTAGAAAAGTGATTTCCAACATCTAGGGTAAGGGTTAGACAATCTTAAATCTTAATGAAAGACTCTATTAAACTATTAGAAAGAAACAATCTGAGAAGCATACATCTACTCACAACTGAAGCAATCTCTAAGAAACATATTCATGAGCGGTTTCTCTACAACGGAGTTTGAAAACCTTTTAGTTTTATGGCCAGATCAAAGAGAGCCTACCTCAGCATAGGTTGCATATGTCTGGTGGTTAACTGTTTCTTTCAGATGTATATTATTTCAGTCCTGAAGCAAACAATTAATTTGTGATTCATAAGATGTTACCTAGGAGTGTGTCCAAAAAAAACAACTTTATCCTTTAAGACACTTTTGACAAATTGACACTAATAGCATATGAATTCTTGATCCATGACTAAACCCATGTTTGTGAGGTCACAGTGACCTTTGACGACCAGATTAAAAACAGTTCAAGTCCAAGTAGATGTTTGTGCCAAATTTGATGAAATTGCCTCAAGATAAAAGACGTCAGACATCAGCAGTTAGTGGCGTTAATTATTCCTTATTGGTTATAATTTTGACAAAATCTTCCATTCATCCATCCCTCCAGGTGGAGGTTTAACTCTGCCCTGATGAAATGTGCTTTTTCTCCATTGGCTTGAATAAAAGGGAGCTTAGAATGAGCTGATGTGAACAGTGTGTCACCATTTAGGCAGGTGAAAAATGGCTGTTCATTATGTTATGCCAACCATATCCTAGTTCCAGTAATTGGATGTAGTTCTATGTATATGAGAGCATTAAGATACAAGCATGTGTGTGACTGCGAGTGTGTTTTTGTGTGCACGCCAAGGCAACATGTGACAGGAGAAACAGATGCAAGGATTCTCAGCACATCACACAGCATGATGCAGCCAAATACACCCACACACGCACGCACGCACGTACACACACACACACACGCACGCACGTACACACACACACACACACACACACACACACACACACACACACACACACACACACACACACACACACACACACACACACACACACACACACGACACTAACTCACACTCACACACACACACACACACACACACACACACACACACACACACACACACACACACACACACACACACACACACACACACACACACACA